GGGGTAATCGGGATGGGTGTGTCAGAGGCAGTGCGGTTGGCGCAGGATAGAGCAGGGTTTAGGGCTGTTGTGCATAGGGTCGCTATGAGTCCCAAACGACTCGACGGCACATAACAACAACAACAATGAACATTTACAGAGATTTTGGGTTTCCATTCATTCATTGTTACACTATTTTCTCTACCCTCCTCCCCAGTTTGTTCCTCTTTTTCCCCCCCTTGAATGTCTGTTTTAATTGTCCAGTTGCCACAGTGTTTGTCAAAGCCAGTTCTGATTAATCTCCTTTGTCAGTGTGTCCTTTGTCATTCCCTATCACTCCTCCTGAGAGAGACTTCAGCCTGATTCTTAAGCAAAAGGGGACAGCGTATGTTATTGTCGTGCTGCTAGGTGCTAAAAACTGAGGCTTGGAGGCATTAAATAACCTCCCCCAGGTTGCTCCACAAATTCAGGCAAACCTTGGCCAAACCCCCTCCCTAGATCCCTCTGCCCTGGCTGGAGAACAGCATGTGTGGGTCCTCAGTGTGGTCTCCTTCCTATTCCCCTTCTCTCTAAAGGAGTAACCCTTAGCATCTAGAAATACAAACAACATCAGGGAGGGAGGAAACAAATTCAAAGGTCATTTGGAATGAGCCTGGGTGGCATAGTAGGTTAAGCATTGAACTGTCTACCAAAAGGTGAATGGTTCAAATCCACTAGAAGCCCTGTGGGAACCACTGTGACCTGTAAAGACGCAGCCTTGGAAACCCTAGCAGCAGCTCTGAGTCAGGAGCCACTAGGTGGCAGTAAGCGTTCAGAATCTGGAAGAACTGTCACAGGAGCACCGCACACAGCAGCAGCTGTGTGTAAGAGGTTGTGCTGCAATCACAAAGGCACGCTGTTCAAATCCACGTGCAGCAGGGCTCTCCAACGCTGCACGGAGCAGTGGCGATTGTTAAGAGATTACAAGAGTCCAGGACAAAGGCTGCATAGTGGAGTGTCCCAGGGATTGTATACCAATGAAGGAATTTTTCTTTTACTTTTCAAGGAGAGGAGCGAACTGGGGGTGGGGGAGAGACGGGGGGGTGGGGCAAGGAGAAAAGTGCAACAATGAATGAATGGAAATCCAAAATCTTTGTAAATGTTCACTAAAATGAAAAAAGAAAAAGAAAAAAGAAAGAGTTGTTCTCGTTTAGAAAAATCTGGAACCTACCTCCCAGGCATCCAGGAATGTTGTTTTACTGACGAGGAAATTGCCTTTCTCATCTGTGGGATAAAGTTCACTCCCCGGCTGTGAACACAAAACACAGAATTTAAAATGGAATCTGCCTCTAGACCCCAGAGTTCAGCTCACAAGGCTCCTGGGTCCTGAACCTCCCCCACTAACTAAACTCCCACGTCCACAGGCTACACTGACACAGTGGGCACATGCCTCATAAATCCAGACCCCACAGACACTCGGGGACAAACTTTCATTTCAAGGTCAGCCCAGGGGTGAGTTTTCTGCAGAAGATACTGGTGCCCTCTTCTGCTAGTTCAGGAGGCCTGGAGGAAGGATGCCCCCAAGTTGTCTCACACACACACACACATACACACACACAGAGACACACACCCCGTCACATTGTAAGAGGAGTGGGCATCTGTCAGCTCCCACCTTTCAGAAGCACAATATTGTTGGGGTGTGGGGTCAAGTTGGAACCGATCCATAGCTGACCCTTCCCACCCCCCGCCCAGTGAGTTCACAGGTAATAAATCATATGATGATATGAGAGGAGACGGCCCATCTCTCTCTAATGGAGCAGCCGGTGGATTTGAACCACGTGCCTTTGTGATTGCAGCATAGCCTCTTACCACTGGGCCACCAGAGCTCCTTGGCAGCACAACAGAGCCTGGGAAAGATGTGCTGGTGTTCAGAGAGAACCAGCCACCCTTCAGCGTCAACATACTTGGGCTTTTCTCCAAGTGGCCACACCCAGGGTATGGTTTCATTACAAGAGGGCTGAGCCCATGGACACGGTCAATCTGGCAGCATCACTCAGCTACCAGAAACCAAGACCCCCTCAGATGCAACAGAGAGAAGACAAAGGAGCTAGTGTGTTGCTAGTCGTGGCCTGAGCCCCAGGCGTGAAGGGCTAGAGCGGCCCTCACAGGCTAATGGCGGGCTCAGTGGCTACTCTATCAGGAAGGAGAGACTGGATGGGGAGACACTCCAACCTGCAGCCCCTGTGGCCAGTGAATGAGGTAGAGGTCCAGATAGTCCAGTTTCAGATCCATGAGGGTCTTCTGACAGGCTTGCTTCACCAGTGGCCTCTCGAAGAAGGTGGCCCACAGCTGCAGAGAGCGACAACCGGGGTCAGTGGTGGGAAAGTGTCTCCATTACCCCGAGATCTGATGGGGGAAGGGCTTTTTCCAGCAGAAGTGGAGGAGGAGAGCTCAGCCATCAGCGCTCAGAGCCAAGGACAGGTCCTGGGTGCTAAGGGTGTTTGTTTCATTCAGCTCAGCCAGTGTCTCATACATCCCTCTGTCAGGGGGCGTGTTCTGTTCCCCATTGATGGCAGGTGTGCCTAACTCTGACTACTTCAGACTCCCAGCTCTCCTGTGCACGTAGAAACAGAAGGTCCCTTTTCTGCTGCCCTAAGTTTCCTGCTGCCAGACCCCTGGTGGCTTCTCAAGGAGCCCCCACCTCACCTCCAGGCTTGAGTCTGTGTGCCACCCAGCCCAGGTCTTTCCAGTACCTGAGGCTCATGTTTCAGCACGTCAGATGTAAGCCAGCTCAGGAATTCTCAATCCCACAGACAATATCTCTCCTCTATCCTGAGCAACTTGCCTTTTGCTATACGGAAACTAAAAAGCACCAAAAAGCCCAACAAAGCAATACATCACAACCAGTTGCCATCAGCAACTCATGGCAGTCAGAGCAGCACAGACTCATGGCCGACCTTCCAGCAAGTTCCTGAGGCTGTGATTTCCCTGGAGGGAATGGTCCACCTGTGTCCTTTGTGCTGGTGGCTTCAAACAGCCAGAGACTTGGCCTTTGGCTTAGCGAGGAAACTCCCCAGGAACTGTACCCCCAGAGCTCCCTATTCTATGCTGAAAGAGAATGAAATCCATGTGGCCATTGAAAAATATGCCCCCCCTTTTCTCCCTGTGTAGACTCTCAGGGCTGGATCCTAGAGAACGTGGTCTGCAGAGGCAGGGCCAGGTCTCCCCCTGACCGCACCCTCAGCCGCTGAGCAGCACTGGGCAGAGGAGCCCCGTGATGGGCAGGGAGACATGTGCATGGCTGCGGCTCAGGGGACCCTCCCCGCATGCCAGGAGTGGGTGTTAGGTGGGCGCCAGCCAGGTGTTTGCAAAGCAGAGGCGGCGGGCTGGGGAAACAGCTTTGGGCTTGAAGGAAACAGGAGGCTCCTGGGGCTGATATAAACACCGTGTCCACGCCCTGAGGTCAGTCACCCTCCCCACCCCAC